CTTCTTATCTCACTTTGTACTGAAGAGACATTTTGCTTTGGATCATTGTATTAAAATTGAGTTATGCGGCTGTAATGTTTCGAACATGTATATTCTATCTTTATACTAGTATTGATAACAATAATATTATATTTATTATTATTATTATCAACAGAAACTACATGTTATGCCAGTATCTAAAATATAAATCGTATACAATGATTCGTGTGACATTTAACTCACTGTCAATTGCGAGATACTGGTGTGAAAAGAAGTGTAATACATTGCATCAGTTCATTCACATTTAGGCTATAAATCCTATCCGATAATTTTATTGATAGACTATAACAGTTTTTGCTACCTTCACCTATACCCAAGATAGACTAGCCATTGTGCCATTGCAAAAATGTTGACGTAGAGAGAGTGCGAGTGTAACAAGAACGTAACTAAAGGATATTTTTAGCCATTTTCATTCTACATTTTATGACACGTTAAAATACAGACTATGCAATCTAATTGTAGAAATTGTAATGTCACATTCTTATTACTATATTATTATTATTATTATTATTATTATTATTATTATTATTATTATTATTATTATTATTATTATTATTATTATTATTAAATTCATTTTCTCGCTAAAATTATATAGTACACATCGGGAAGAGAAGTCTTTCACAGGCATATGTAGTTAAGTACGGCCAAAATCTATCACATCCGATTACTATAATGCTATCAATGAGAGATAATATATTGTAATGGTGCGTGATATGTGTATTACTATAATCCAACGTTGTTGTCATATGATAACGAGAGTTGCGATATGCCTTACAATGGGAAGATTAAAATGATTTTAAAAATTTGTATACTCTATTATATCAAGAATTTATCCTTGCCTACGCAGATTGGCTCAACTTAGAGATTTCATTTTTTAAGGTTCATACATCGGGCACTATTTCCTTTATTAACTTTAATCTCATAGTAGGATAAAAATCTGCTAAATGCTAAAGGATAATTTACGTTCTACTTACTTTTGTTGGCTGAACAAACAGTAGAGTTTATTTTATCATTTATTTTCGGAAGAAAGCAGTACGGTACAAGGAAAACTTTTTTTGAAGCATTACTTCTTGCCAAATATGCTAAATGATTTATCTTATGTCAAATTCATCGAGCGATTTAGATTTGAAGATGAAAACAATATATTATATAAATACATAATTTTCAAATATTAATAATCTGGTAAATACAGAATGACAGTTTAGTCTTTCTAAGGAGTATTGTGTTTATTGTCAATTACGTGACTAGATTTAAGTAAAAATCATCGATGTTTCTTTTCGAAAAAATGTATTAGTCTATTTTGTTGTAAGTGAAAATGCGAATGAAGAACACTTATTACCAGCAATATTAAAAGATTATTTCGTTCAGACCTACTTTTGAACAATGGCATCTTCAAACTGTATGTTTCTCAAAAACAAACTTCCATAGACAAATTTAGGAAGGCTTTCTGAAATTGTAGATAAAAGATTACTCGACCTGACCAACTACAGGAACATAGTTTAAAATGGCTCGCGGGGAATCAAACATTTGTTGTTTAAATAAACCTTATTCCAAGATATTTACTCGCAAAATATAATATGCACTAGTATTATACGGGAACGATTCAGACCAACTCTAGCCAAAGAAGGAAATATCAGCCTGTGACAATTTAAACCCAAACATTTTAGACCCAAGTGGCAACATCTGGGACTATTTAGACCCAAACATACCAAAGAAAGAAATTTAGCCTGGGAGGATTTAGACCCCAGTGGGAATATTTGTATTTGAAAATGAGGAATGGATTAGGTTAAATGACGTTACGTGAACAGTGTAGCTTGATTTAAGAAAACACGTAATCTAGACCCATTTACTTTTTCACTATATTGAACTCAATCAACATGAGAACAGGTGAAGTGCATGTAATTTTAAAAATAAAAATACCTGTATCAATGGTGACGGGAAGTCCATGAGGTCATTGGAGGGTCATAACCAAATTAATTGATTAAGAAGAATAGGAGCAAGTATGAAAGATGAGTGTAATTGAATGTAAAACACTTAAGGTAAAAATACACGCATGGAACAGACATATGTGTAATAAACGTGCAAAATAGAAGAAGAATCAGCACACAATAGAACAAGTAACCAACTGATGATGCTAAAGCGTCATAGAGGGTGTACATCCCGTATGGCCATTTAAAATTTTAATGTAGAATGTTTTGAAAGCGAGACTTATTCGATCTTTATTTTGTGATTTTGCAATTATGTCCTACACTCTCATTCTCAACATAATAAGTCACTAAGTATTTCATTTCAATTAAATAATTTTATTGCCTCTATGTTATTTATTACGATTGTTAACAGTACAAAGAATGTTAGCTATGAAACATATTCACAAAAAAAAATCATTCTTATCCAGATATGAACTTCTTCCTTCGATTGCAGACAAAGGTGAATCTCTGTTCAAATACCAATACACATAAATACATCGGGCAAAGTTCTGAAAATAAGTACCTATTTGTTCCCAGTCTCGAGATTTATACATGTTTATTTATGGTCCAACAGTAATGCATTTTTAGCACCTGTTGTCTTGTAAATTTGTACTCGTGTTGAAGATTGCATAAGCCTTGCAACCATTGAAGAATTGCGATAATGCGATCTTCAGTAGAGTTAAGGAAGCTTCTTATAATTCCTGAGACAATAATTCTACCCATTAAATAAATAAAGTTTCAAGGGATCTATATTTGTATTATTACTGAAAACAATGATATTGAATATAAGTCTGATGAGATCATATTGGCTACTCAAAATACTGACTTTTTGATCATCTTATTGGAGTAGCCTGTGAAAGACCTATTTGTTGCATTGATATCATATTCCTTACCAAACATACTATTAATGTAATTTGTGTGAATAGGGCGAGAACTATACCCATCTATGCCTACATTAATCTTTGAGACTTCCTCATAGCCATAGCATGCCAATAACTGCAAATCATCACTCAATTTCAAAGTTCTATACTGGTTGTAATTTCATGAATTATAGAAATATGGTGAAGTAACAACTGACATAATAGCTGTAAACCTTCACTGACGAAATCAATATATCGACATATTAAAGTCATTATACACTGCCAACATTAATGAAATGACCAAAGGAGTCTCGTCCTTCTGTCTGCTCTGGGTAAGGTTCGATGTGTTTTCAGTTGTAATGATTAATGTAACAAAATTCTTAAGACGTTGGATTGTATGTAATGATTATCATTTTAAGTGAAAAATGCATTCTGAATTACATGGCTGACATTATCACAAATCAAATGTAATGGTAAACAATGTTAAAAAGAACTTACCTGTGCCGTGGAAATACGAAAACAAGAATTAATACATGACAGACTAACGAAGAAATGGACAGTAAAACAAATTATTTTCATATCTTATACAATATTTGTTTTTATTTTCATAATAATTTTTAATAACGTTTGCTGTATATATCTGCACATTAGTTAGAATACGCTTAAATGCAAAACATATTAGTTATTGTCAGTCTGTTGGACCTCAGTAACGGTTGTTTCATTTTCCTTTACCGTTTCCTGTTCATTCACTCTTTTATAAATTCAGTTTCAATTACTTTCCCAGGTGTTCTGACATTTATGTTCAACTTCTATTACGAAACATGTCCTATTTCAGTTCTTTACCATCTAAGAGACCTTTTTTTCATCGACTGTGCCTGAATTATCCTCTCAGCTTTTTACCTCACTTTGTATGGAAGTGAAATTCCGTTTATAACATTGTACTAAAATTGTGTAAGATTGATATAACGTTTAGAACATGTACGTTATTTCTTTATACTATTATTGATAAAAATATTGTATTATTATCATTATTATTTTTATTATTATTATTATTATTATTATTATTATTATTATTATTATTATTATTATTATTATTATTATTATTATTATCAACAAAACCTACATGCTACGCCAGTATTTAAAAATAAATCGTAGTATATGATTTGTGTGACATTTAACTTAATGACAATTGCGAGACACTGAACTGTAGAAAGTAGGTTAATAGTTTGCATCAGTTCAGTCATATTTAAGCTATATATACGATTTGAGAATATTGTTAATTGACCTTAACAAGTTTAGTCCCCATCAACTTTACTAGCGGTTCACTTCCCATTGTGCTGTTTCAAAAATGTTGACCTAGCGAGAGTGCGAGTGCAAGAAGAACCTAGCTAAAGGATAATATTAGCCCCATTCATTATATATTTTAAGACCCGTTACAATACAGACTAAGTAACCTTATTTTAGAACATGTAGTGTCACTTTCATATAACTATTATTATTTTTATTATTAATTAATTATTAATTCATTATTATTATTATTATTATTATTATTATTATTATTATTATTATTATTATTATTATTATTATTAATATTATTATTATTATTATTATTATTATTCATTGTCTTGCTAATATAAAATAGGACACAGGAGGAAGCAAATGGTTCCACTGTGACAGGTAATTGAAGTAGGGTAGGGCAAACATCTATTACATGCTATCATGATAATGCTAACAATGGAAGACCTTATCAATTAAGAAATTAAGAAATCAAAAATATTTTAATAAAAATCTAACGGAACAAGAACTTTGATTCAAACGGTTATGATGATAATTTCTGCTTGAAAATATAGAAAGTTTTCTGATGAATAATTTTTTTAAAACTATTACGGCTTATTTACAGCAATATTGTGCATCGTAAAACAATTACTGCTGAGACCAGGAAAAATATATTATTTATTTAGTAGTAGTAGTAGTAGTAGTAGTAGTAGTAGTAGTAGTAGTGTTATTATTATTATTATTATTATTATTATTATTATTATTATTATTATTATTATTATTATTATTATTATTATTATTATTATTATTATTATTATTATTATTATTATTATTATTATTATTATTATTATTATCTACCTTTATGTTGGCCTAGTGGTAAGAGCGTCCGCCTCGAATGTGGGAGGACGTTGCTTAAATTCTCGGTCGAGTAATACCAAAGACTTACAAAAATGGTGCTAACAGCTTCCTCGCTTTGCGCTCAGCATTAAGATGTTAGTGTTAGGACATGTTGGACTGGTTTCAGGATAATGTGACATATCCGCAACATGATGCCCCAGTACTAGACATCACTATAAATTGCAACACTGCAGACACCGTAGCGATATGACTGAACAAAATTTTAAAGCTATTTTAAAAATCAAATCACAACAACTACCAGATGTAATGGCTATGGTGTGAATAGAAAATATAGATCTACATTTATTCTGCCGTTTCTTTGTAGCAGTGGGCAGAAGTTTTTCACCGACTTCAGCAAGATTTTTACCAGGTAGTTAACTATAGTTAGTACGGATTAATCAATACTTGTTGATAAGATCGATAACAAAATTAAAGACTGCACATTTCTGACAGACGGCGAATCTATCGAGAACATAGAATGCGCATATAGCAAAAAATGATTTTAAAGCTTTCTGATACAAGGATTAAAAAACTATATTCTTTCAGTTTGTGACATTTGTTGTTCGTTTTTTTTCCGGGGGAGTCTTTTTAATTTGGAGTTATCATTCTAGAACGTGATATTAATGATATCTAATTGATTATTTTTCCATTATCTGCATTATATTTATATAACTATTTTTTTGTATTTGCTTAAATGATTTAGCAGAGATCTGAATTTTGACAGGCTAATTTTGCTTGAAATTAAAATGTTCTGAATTATGTCCAAAATAATTCTAATTATAGCATCACAATTGCAAAACTGTATAATGTTGCGATAATTTCAAATATTCTGAAAGATTTCTAAAAGTCCTGAATGTCCATATGTTAAACAATAATGCTATACAGTGTTTCTTATAATAAGATCATTATAGTATAAAAGTGGAGAATGTGAATCTTATAGTTACTGTAGTTTTTGATAATTGTAAAGAACACTCCTCTCAAATTTATCTGAACTTTTCAAACTCATGCTATGGGTTCACACAGTATAAAAGTATAATGAATTATCATTTTATCAAACCTCTTTTTATAAACACTCTCACGTCACTTATAACATTACTGATCTGACAATTTCCTACGTATAAACAAGTCTTTTTGTAAACAGACTTGCCTTCGTCTCTTACGACGCAACGAATTTGTCTACAATTTAAAATCATAGACGAAACTTATTATGAATATATAATGTTTACAATTTGCAATCATTTACAAAGGTAAAGAACATAATATATTTTTAATATGCTATAAAATTCATTACATTCATATGCAAATACATACATACATACATACATACATACATACATACATACATACATACATACATACATACATACATACATACATACATACATACATACATACATACATACATACATACATACATACATACATACTTACATACATACATACATACATACATACATACATACATACATACATACATACATACATACATACATACATACATACATACATACATACATACATACATACATACATACATACATACATTCATACATACATACATACATACATACATACATACATACATACATACATACATACATACATACATACATACATACATACATACATACATACATACATACATACATACATACATACATACATACATACATACATACATACATACATACATACATACATACATACATACATACATACATACATACATACATACATACACATATAGCTAGTGTTAGTGGTCTCTCCATAACGAAGTTACTGATAGTCAACGGTCTTCAATAATTTCTGTTTATCTTTTCGTGAATCATATGTGAATGCATGTGATCCTGCAGAGTGCAGACACAGACTGCAATCATTATGACACAATGTAAGAGGACAATGTAATGGGATATAGAAGGTGGAATCTTCTTCAGCAAACAATGAAACCAAAACAATGAAAATAACATCACACTTCTGTTGTAGATGTCTTTTAATTTGTAACGTGACAAATATAATACAAGATTTACTGTTTTATAATCTTTAATATTCATCTTTTATTTTATGGAAACTCACTAACTCACGGTCCGTTGCCTTTACTCTGAGAAGTTTGTACCAATTGTTTTCAGCCAGTACGTTTTTTTTTTGACTCATTCATGCTAATTATTTTATCCTCAAAAGACACCAACTACTGTTTACGAATCAAAATGAGACAAATTTGTTCTCGCGCGATACCTTCTGAATAAGCAAGTATTCGTAAAAGCAATTAAATCAGAATTATTTTTCAATAGAATCACATATATACGTGATATTATTGCTAGATTTCTGACAACAAATATACTAGTGTTATTATTGTTAGATTTCTGACAATGATTTCAACTACTGGTTGTCGTGATCGGGATTCCCGCTGCACTCAAGTTATATACCACCAAACACGTGCGTTTTCTTTTTCCATATTTCTTTAACACGCAGGCTTATTTAGTGTTTCATTTTGCAGCCAATTTTTCCGCTTTCACGATTTTTTTACTTAAGAAAACATATGGGTCTATCATTGCTCTTCTATTATTAATATATAATTGTGCTTTGAAATAGTTATACGCACTGATTTTTATCAGGTGCAACACTCACAAACACATCTTAACAATAACTCGTATCATTGGTTCAGCTGTCACCCAGTCAAAGAAAATATTTAAATGTGGGAATATTTCAATCTCCTGCTATTGACTGTTTGGTTGTCTAACTATACGTGTATTAAAACCATGTTACCTACTCATTTGAATAATGTCTTAAACAGTAGTTTACGTCTTTGACCAAGCACTGACAAACAGTCAAAGAAACACTATGTTGAAAAACATTCGAATATATTTTTTACTTCCTTTCTGGACGAGCCAATGCCTGTTTAACATAATTATCAGGGAATACATGATGTACGCATTCATCATTATAGGCGCAATGACGGCACTTTTCCCTGATTGGTGATGTTGATACCATCCACATCATGGAAAAGTCAAATCACCTTCTAGAATTAAATCTGTCTCTAGCGAGTCCAAAAACCGTTCTAAATGAGTCAACATTGCCAACAATAAATTTAAGTTACCCATCCACGGAAGATAGAGTATTGATGACATTCTTATCAAATCCAATTTTAGCTCAGATACATTGTATTTGCGCGATATTGTGATTGTCGCTGTCGTCAAGTTCGAAACGATTGTAGGTCCTCTTGAATATCATTACTATATTTAGGCCAACATAAACATATTCACATCAGTGATTTACATATATTTTTTGTTCTGCTAGCCACTGGACATCTATGCTCAACGTGATACGCCTTTTTTGTTAGAGTTCATGTAGAAGAATTTATTCTAGATCATGTTGACGTTGCTTTGGATCACATAATCATTTGCTGTCGTCGCTGTTTTCATCTACTTGTTCCTTGTACATTTGTTTATATTCTGGTGTATCTGGCTATTGTGTCGCTTATATTAATTCTATAAATCCTTTCATGGCAACTTCTCCAGTACGGACCATAATAAGTATTTGAATAAAAAAAATCAAACAGATCACCAGAGTTGTCTAAACCAAGTATGTTTGTTTTTGCATTCATACTTATTTTATGTTCGTTAATCACCAAATTTCTCTTGCCGGATGCATATACCAACCGGAAAATACAAACATTCCAACTACGCACTTCCGACTTTTTTCTTTGAAATAATGTGTTGATTTTGAATTATTGATTGGTACACGTGAAGTTGTGATGGACGCGATTTAATTAAATATTTGATAGAATTGCCTAAGGTGACATTTTTAATTACTGACATATCTTATCACACTTGGGCAATGACCGCTGGCAAGCGCCCACTACTCTCTGCTGCTGTGTTTGCTGTTGTGTCCATGACCTTCTTAATATCCTTGTTCCGTTCATCACTTTGACAAATTTGACCGTGCTCTTCGGGGGCCCCGAGTGGCCTAGTGGTCTAAAGCGCTGTCCGTTACGAATCACTGCCATCTCACCTCTGTCTGCGTGTGTTCGAGTCTAGGATTCGGCTAATGTAGATATGTGAGAAAGCTTGCCAGTAGCTTCTCGTGGGTCGGTGGTTCTTTCCGGTGATTTCCCGGTTTCTTCCTCTACCATTAATACTGGCTGCCATGAATAGCCAATCGTGTGCTGAAAAATGGCGTTAAGCCCAACAACAACCACAACCAACCGTGCTCTTCGTCAGTTGATTTTATGTCATTTGAATACCCATGCCAAGTTTTAATTATTTGTTCTGTTGATTAACGAGTTTTAAAATGTGTTTGTAAAGAATACACAGTAACAATAAATATAAGGAAATGAAAAGTTATTGATACATTTGTGCCAAAAACAGCAATTAACCACTATAGCAGTTCGCATGGAAGTGGATAATTCGCTTTGCAAACTCAGTTTCATCATAGGTTAGGCTGGAATTACTGCATATGACATAATGACTTAAAATGTGATCGGATGTACGTGATTGCGTTATTGTCTGACGATCGATTGTATTATGACATACTCAGAGATTTAAAGGAAGCTGTTAAATTATCATCGACTGGCAGAGAGACCAAGATTGAATCAAATCAACAATTCAAGAAAATCCTTAAATTGTCAACCTTAGTAAAGTGAAAAAATTGTTCGTGTACAACGATGTCATGCTTGAACATTACATCAATCTAGTCGGAATATTTTAGGAGGTCGACACAATAAACCCACCTAAATCATTTGACTCAACCAAGCGTACAGATTCCTAGTGTGATCTCTGACAACTGTAACATGTTAATGACATTTCGTGGTTTTTATTCGCATCTCCTTACAAATATTTTTTTAACTGAGTATGAAGCCGCAATTCATGGGTTGCGTTTCATGATATAATTCCTGATGTAAATCAAGAACAATATAGACGTATTAGCATTGATTTAGCTTTCGGACCCCAACAACATACTGCGTCGATCTGGAAGAAAACATTTAACAGTTACAACTAATTTATAGCATTTCAAGCGAAAAGAGCTCCGTGTTTTTGCAATTTGTTC